ATCACGCAATACACATTTTGACTTTTAAAGAGGATTGAAAACCCTAACTAGCCTCCAACGCAGCCCCTATTAGTGTCGTCACGCAACGCTCACTCCAATAGCGGCTGCGTATATAGGAGACCGCGACAACCCAATAGAACCTGGAGGAAACGTCTTGTGGCGAGGGAGAGAACAACACATCAAACAAACTTTATATGCGATGCATTTGAGACTCGAACTTAAGAATTCGAATCCCAGGCTTGAACAATAGTATTCACAGCAGTGACACAGCACCGTAATATAATGAGTGCATGTCACCTTTTCGAATTCTTCGCTCTATCCTTTACTTTTTATACCAATTGATGGGTTGCAAGCATTACCAAGAGAGACAAAAGACAGAAACACGGCGGCCATTGTGGTACCGTTAACAATGGATGCYAATAAGATATCTTTTGTTAAATGGCACCAACGCACCCGAGAGTCCGCGATGAAGTAACATGCAATCGAAGAATTCCCTCTAGCTTGAAACAGGAAAAAAAAATACCCAATTGCTTTGCAGGTTATTCTTAGTGTCTTGGAGTTAGTGAGGGTATATTATGATGTTAGACATAGAAAACGCCGTTTTATAGTTTTACTTCAGTAACTTTATGAAAAAAAACATGCATTTTAAGAAAGCTTCTAGTACTAAAAATTCCCGATCACACTTAGTTTAGCTTCGACATATGTATATATATTTTTTCATTTTAATCATGACATTTTTTTAAATGAAAAAGRCAGAAAATGAATAACAAAATCGTTGCTATATCGCGCAAGAAAACTTTTTTTCTACAACTACACAACACAATTGTTTTTGTAAATTAGTAAAGGCAGTTTTCTTACGTGAAGAATAATCGTTCCTTGAGGCTATATTCTCTTTATAATTGCTTGCTTTCCACGTGTACTGGCGAGAAACTAATATATCACAATATATCTCAGAAATTTATCATGCTTCTATTTATGAGAATAGCACAAGTAGCATTCAGAATTCAAATTATTATATACATTGTGTAATCAAAATCTGCTAAAAGGATATTTTTTTWAATTTGTATATAATTTTCCATTCAAATGAGACCAAAATGAAATTAGTTTATAGCAATATGATTAGCAGCCAAACGCACCACAATTATGACAATGAATACGTGTTGACAAGGAGATCATTATAATAGTTCAATTCTATTCAGACTATCGTTTTAATAGATTCTCACTGAGCACGAATTGGACTCAAATTGTTTTGAGCCACGTGGAGGTCTAGTAGTTACATCAATGCTTGAYCACTTTTGTGCTATAAGTGGACCAACAAGGCTTACTGAAGCACTGTATTCAGCACGACACACCCTGAAGGTAGTACTGAAGACTAACGGCTGAACCGAGCTTTGACAAGCTAAGAAACACGAGACGAAAGGTAAACACTTTAGTGAGGATATATATATAGAACTGATATTTTCTTGAGACATTTTAAAATAACTGCCATGTGCGGTAATCAGTTTTTAACTCAGTCGTATGAAAAAGTAGCAACGAGGGACAAGGTAGCTTAAAGAAGAACTGATAGAAGAAAAGAACGAACGAACAAAAGAAATAAAGAATGGAGAAATTAAAAACTATTAACAACCACGTAAGATATTAACTAAAAGTGTCTTTTTTTTTTCCATTCAGTATCATGCTCTCACTTTCCAAATGCCTTTTTCTGGTTTGGTATTTTTCATCCCTCAAGGTGTTTGCCGTCCAGCCAGTAAGTATAAAATTTAAAAAATAGAAATAAATAAATTGGGCAATGCAGACTACAGTACCATTAAAAATAAGTAATTAAAACGGATTTGTCGAATAGCTGATTTTATACACCGAATCGAAATATGGCGACCAATTTGAATAACTATTGTTCTGCACTGAATAGCGACTGACTAGCCTCGTGTTCATGTGGAAACATAAAAGCATTTTCACATGTATAGGAGGCTAGTCAGTCGCTGGTCAGTGCAGAACAATAGTTATTCAAATTGGTCGCCATATTTCGATTCGGTGTATAATAAAGTCGACGGATATTAATTATAATTAATAATAATTTCACACATTACAATTTTTCGCGCGACGAAGTTTACCCATTCTTGGTTTGCAATCAATCCCAAGAGAGCACAATAACAAAAGGGATGTCCGCCATGTTGGAAGATATAACAAAAGAATTCATTGAAAAATCTTTTGTCAAATTCTTCCAACATGGCGGCTATGACGTCTATAAGCCTTTTCATAGTTTAAGAATCGATTCCACTGCGCATGCGATTTTATCCCGAATTTCTCACCTTCTTTTGTTTAATTAAAGTGCTACTAYGACGAAAATCGCTCAAACTTGGATTCAGCTGAAACTTCCTAAGAATACTCTTTAAAGGTCCAATAATCACTGTATGAAGTGTTTTCTCGATATTCAGKACGAAAGTATGATATTTTTGCGATTATTTTTTGGAGTCTGTGACGTCATACACTCAACATC